AGCTTACAAAGAATCCTGGCCCTTCTCAGTCTCTCCCAGTGATAAGGACAAAGGGTCCGAAGAAGGCCCGTCCCCCAGAGGGAGAGAAGCTCCTTGGCTGCCCAGGTCAGAGGGCTCTGCAGGGAGTACCAGCAGGCTGGCACGCACAGCCTCAGGGCCCCTACACAAGGCAGGCCCTCCCTGACTCTGCCATCGCCCTAAGGAGACAGTGCTGGGTGGGGGTGAGGGGTGTGGAGGGATGTGAGTGAGGTGGAGGTCCCCCACAGCACTGGGGATGGTCAGATAAAGGGGTTCAAATCCTGCTCTCAGGCTCACTAGCCACAGGCAAGGTGCTGACCTCTCCGTGCCTTGATTTCCCCGTCTGTAAGAACACTGAGCTCACAGTGAAGTAGTGAGGACACAGACTAGGTTTGCTGGGGTGAGCAGAGGCCTTCCAGCATGCAGGCTGAAGCTGGTGTCCCGAGGTCCCACCCCATGGGACGGAATGTGTTCATGTGTGTGGAAGGCACATGATGGGATGTCTGTGCTCAGGTGCACCCCCTTCCCCCAGGGCTGTGACCTCCAGACCACCAGACTCACCACCCTCAGGGGCCAGGGTCGCTCTGCCAAGGGCAGCACAGCCTGGGCTGCAGACAGAGTCCAGTGAGACTGAAAACAGACAGGGCGGTGCCTTGGGCGTCGCTCAGAGAGGAAGGGCTGACTGGGGCTGCACACAGCCTTCGGGGCAGGAACAGTGCCCAGAGGGAGGCTGGTCCTCAAGGCTCCACACCGCAGGGCTCCACTTGTACAAGGCTCTCCACAGAGAGCAGCGGTCGCCGAGGGCTAAGGGGGCACGGGACTGGGCGGGGAGTCGGCAAGGCTAGAAAAGGTGGTGTGGAGTCCCTGTGGGGCTGGGGCTCCTGCCTCTGGAAGGCGGCATCGCTACCCTGCTGTGATCTTACACGGAGTTTCTACAACAGGCAACGGGTTCCTGGTGTCTCTCTGGCGTCTTACAACTGGGCATGATCTACACTGACCTCAAGTTAAAAGTTCAATTATAAAAAATTAGCTGAGGAACATGAAATAGAAAAAAGGGTGGGGCCAAAGAGCAGGCAGAGGGTACCTGGCGCAGAGCGGTGCTGCCGTGTGCCCCACCCCTCTGCGGGTGGGCTGCAGGGCTGGGGGATCTCCCTCCCCTCTACCTTCAGACAGCATCCCCCCTTTCCAAACCATACAGCCCTTGCCCCTCAGACCCTTAAATAGCAACAGCTCAGTCCTGGCCAGTGTGGTTCAGTAGATAGAGCATTGGCCTTCGCACAAAAGGGTCTCAGGTTTGATTCCTGATCAAGGGCATGTACCTGGGTTGCAGATTCAATCCCAGGCCTGGTTGGAGTTTGTGCAGGAGGCAACCAATCCATGTGTTTCTCTCACATTGATGTTTCTCTCTCTCTCTCTACCTTCCACACTCTCTAAAAATCAATGGAAAATATATCCTTGGGTGAAGGTTAACAAAAAAATAAACAAAAAATGACAACAGCTCTCATTGTTGAGTTAGAGCCCAGGTTGGAGCAAGGAGGGCAGACCAGGCCCCCAACAGCACCCTCCCCATGCCCCACCTCCTGGGGCTTCCACCCAGGCCTGGACCTGAGGATGGCTGATGGGCAGTTAGCCAGGGGAAGACTCCTCCCAGGACAGGATCACTCAGAGGGGTGGGATTCAGTGGAGGGGCTCTGGCTACAGAACAGACTGGGAGGGGACTCAGGGACAGACACCCTATCTTGGAAGGGGCTCCACCACTGACCTCCGGGGGGGAGCAGACAGGATGGCATGAGGCATCCCTGCCTGTTCAGTCGTCCCCAAGGTGTGCAAGGGGTGTCTTGGGGTGTCAGACTGACCACTGTGGGTGGGAGACCCAGGCTGACTGAGAGGTCCTAGAGATCCTGAGCCTAGCTGTCCACTACAGGTGAGGCTCCAGGGGCTGAGAACACCCCTGAGGGGCTCCTGGAGCCGTGGTGACCCCATTTATCCAGACCAGGATCAGGGCCACCAGCGTGGGAGAGAAAGCCTGCAGTCCGTTCACCAGGGTGACAAGCGTCAAGCACCTGGCAGTTCAGGTGGTCCCTGCCTCTCAGTAGCTCCACCGAGGGGTTCCCGGGGAGGCATTCAGCCAGGGGTGCAGCAGGAGCCCCCTCGAAATAACCCAAGGCTGCAGCCCCAACCAGAAGCCGGGTCTAGGGGGTGCTGTGTCCGCAAGGAGGCTCAGGGACCCGCCTGAGCGCCGCCGGCCTCCGGTTATCCCTCTGACCGGACCCTAAGCCAGCCTGGCTCTCGAAGCCCGTGCGCTGGCTCCGGGGTCCCCGGGAGGCGAGCGAGGCCCCCGAACTGCTCCCCAAGCCAAGGCCCGCGGCGGAGCCCGAGGCTGAGGCCGGCTGAGCCCAGCTGCCCCTCGGT